CCCCAAAACCCCAAAACCCCAAAACCCCAAAACCCCAAAACCCCAAAACCCCAAAACCCCTTTATACTTAACCAGTATTGGAATTATTAGACTAAAGTTGTAAAGGTACCTCAGAATGGAATATTTTTAACTTCCCGTCAAGAGTACCTACTAAAATGATTTGCTTGATCCCTCGAGTTTCAATACCTCACTTCCACAGCTTAGAGTTAGCTTTGGTGACTATTTCTAGAGGAGCGAAAATAGCTCAAACTGGCTTTGACCCCTTGCTTTTAGTATCCTTTTTGAGATGATGACTGGGAGCATCCTCTTTATCTACAGAAGGGATAAAAGTTTCAAACTGGCTACTACGGTCTTTTAGCTTTGAGGATGAGCTAGAGTTAGGTTTTGCTACTTCAACATTCTTCCAAATGTATATCTTTCCATCTTCTGAAGCACTCATGATTAAGTTAAGATTTCCACTGATGCTAGCTCTAATGCCCATAGTTTTATTAGTATGTCCTTTATATTTGAACTTCTGGTCCGAATGATTGATGTCAAGATACCGAATCCTACTGTCAGCAGTCGTAACTAGTGCTTCTCGATCACGGGTGAATTTAATGTCCACTACTTTCCTACCCTTCGAGAAAAAGCCTTTTCGATTTTTACAATTAATAGTGGCCAAGCTATCCAAATTATTCATCTTGGTATTGAAGACTGTTCACATCCCATTCATGGTTCCTGAGAGAAGTCTCTCTCCATCTGGAGAGAACTGGACGGAGGAGACCACATTCTTCTGAGCTACCCAACTGATGACTCTCTTATGTTTAATGCTCCAAAGTCTGAGATTTTTGTCAAAAGACCCTGTTGCAAATACATCCTCATTAGGCTTGAAGCAGACAGAAGTTATAATATCAGAATGGGTATAGATTTGGCTTGGCATTGCCTTCTCACAGTTCCACATTATCACGGTTTTGTCCAGGCTAGCTGAGAGTACAAACTTTGTGTTTGTAGTATGCCACGAAATATCAACAATACTTTTCTTATGCTGTTTGAATTCCTTAAATGGTTCACTTTTTAGCAGAACCAAATGATTCTGAAAGTCACTGGGATGAAGGACTTCCCAAATCCTAAGGATTCAATCTTGGCCTCCTGTTGCTAAATACTTGAAGTCCTCACTGAACTTCATTACTAAGGTAGGAAGTTTGCTGAACTGAATTCATTGCACATATCTCAGAGTTTCTAGCAATGATTCTGAAGTATCAGTCTTCTTGCTCTTCTTAGTCGGAATGATTATCCCATCTGAAGCTTTAGAAGGAGCCATTGATATCATTGAGTGGCTCCTAAAGGTTTTGCTTTCCTCATCATCATTGTCATGAGAATTTAACTTGCCTAAATAGCTTGTAAAAGTTGCATCTCTACAATAATCATTATATTCCTCTGCTATTTGAGGGAGTTTCAACTTAGAGACGCCTGCTTTAGTGGATTTATTCCTACAACTAACATTCTTATTGACACTGGAACTAGCAAAGCTTAAGGTCTTTGAATCGTTCTGGTAGCCACTTGTATGTTGAGTTGATCCTGACTTATTATGAGGGCTATACCTTGCGCTTTTTCCAACTTTAGTTTCCTCATGCTGCTCTCTGGAAAATTCAATCAAATTAGCAGAATCAATTGTCCTCCTTGCACTTTGATTTGGTTTATAATCAAATTGTAAATTTCTTTCAAAATTAAAGGCCGCTGGACTTTCTTCTTCCTTAGAGTTTTGCTCTTCTAAACAAGAGGAAATTACCTTGAAAGCTTACCGATTTCTTCTTGATTTTCAAGCAAGATTTGGTCCATTTCAGCTGTATCGAAATCTCGGCAAGACTGGAAACTATCTAGTTTGGTAATTGCTTGATCAGGTTCTTCATTACAAGGCCTAAAGGATAAATATCTATCTAGGTTGGAGAAATACTCACCGAAAATCTAGGTAGTCCTCCTCGTTTTGTTCTCTCTTGATCACGGTAAAAGTGCGCTTATTTAAGTCCATTCGGAAGTGACTTCTGTCGATTTATTAATGTAGCACTGAGATGTCGAAGTTCATCCCTATTTTTAGGGTTAGCAAGCTAACTTGAAAATAAAATTGAGTGAATTTAATCGAATGAATACAAATTTCCTCATTGACTAGCCCATAAGGTAACTCTTGGTGATATTTTGAATGAAGTCAGAAGAGTTGGTGAATTACGATTCTTGAGAAGCTGTTTATAAAAAATGAAGAAATTAGACAAACTCACTTACTGCAATACTTCATCCTCATGATATTTGGCAGAATTATTCTTAATACATGGCAGCTTCTTGTCACTATTTGATTTCTTGACTGCAATATCTTCATACCTCTCATTTTCTTCTTCCCTAACAGATTTGGCATCTACAAATAAAAGTAAGCAAACAGAGGCAGATATCAGACTTAAGATACATAAAAATTAAAGTAACATTTTCCTATTTACTCAAATTTTTAAGAAATGAAGCAAAATCACGACACCAAGAGAGTAACTATAAACCGGCTAAGAATTACCTTTAAATTCATCGCAGTCACTTTCAGTACTTTGAGCCTTGCTCAAATCCATCTGGTGTCAATCTTCAAAAGAGTGGAATTCATCTTCATCGAAAAACTCTTCATTATCATCCGAGGCGCTGTTGTTTTGAATAGGTTGGCTGGTTGGTTCCATAATTAAATATTATTCCTCATCAATGTTTTATTGCTATAAAGGGGTTTTGGGGTTTTGGGGTTTTGGGGTTTTGGGGTTTTGGGG